GCGAGTCAAAATATTCGGAAGCGCCGCGGCTAACGATTACCATACGAATTAAATACGGGTAGAAATGCGTGTAGAGAGAGAGAGAGAGAGAAAGCGGGTTCTCTCCCCGAGGCGACGAGGCAACGTCATTTCATTTTCGCGGCAAACGAAGCCGAGGAAGAATTCTCCCAATTCTCTAAGCCTCCGCCCTAAGCCCTCAATTTCACTAGAGTAAAAGCTCAATGGAAAGCGTGATAAAATGGCTTCTTATTCCCGCGTTTATATTCAATCTCGATGCCGACGCCGCAGGCACAAAGGGCTCCATTTGAAACACGTTAGTCGATGCCGTATACGCCGGATAGACAGATACATACGCGCGCACACACACATACGTAATGGGAGAGGAGAGAATCGCGGTGATGCATTATGTAGTACCTCGCTGATCCTTATATGCATCTATGCATGGGTTCCACGACGCACCAACTTTATAGGCGTGCTGTACCAAGACACTTACCAGTGGTGCGAGCCGTTAACGTAACCGCAGACATATTCTGTCAATATATCTTCCATGTGTCTGGAAAAAAATCTTTTTGACAATTGGAGTGTATTTTTCCCTCCCTCTCGTCTTTTCGAGACCAGCATCGATCGCGAAAATGTTTTAGCAGACTTGCATATTTTTTCAAGAAACTAAATATACTCTTTTCTTAATTTACTATAGTAATTATGGTTCTTTCATTATTTTTAGAAAGCAAGAAATGTAATTTTTGTGAAATTTTTAAAGTGATGTTTTTGTATTTTTTTTTAAATTTCTCTTTGATAATCTCAAATTATTACTGTGTTGTAGTTTTGTACAACCATAATTCCAAATACTTATACAATTTTAATATAATATTGGTGAGAAGGATCTATTATTTTTACACAAATGGAGCCTTTTATATTCATTTAATCACTTGAAGTATCGCATCGCTCTTGTTTGAAAGAAAATGCGGGTACAGTTCAATTTTATGGCAACGTGCATACGTAAGTACATCGTTTCGCACTCTGTCTGATTGCTACGCGCGAAGACAATCGGCTTTGCCATAGACCGATTGACGTTGGCTTTCAGATGTTACAATTATAATGGAGTAAATAAAGTTGCCGAAATGCTAGTTGATTTTTTGAAACGATAATTATATTCTTTCATGCACGCGCACATTCGTTAATCCTATTATTTTACTTTTCTGAGTGTATCCCGATAAAAATGTTTACAATGTGCGAGATTTTGTGCGTAATATTAAGAAATGTTCTATTATATGTCTGCATTAATATTTTTGACTTTTTGAAGAATAAATAATAAATAATCATATTTTAGTATATGAATTAGTATAATATATTTAATTTAATGGAGACAATTGAAAAAACACTCACCAATATATTATTAAAAAATGTAAATAAATATAGTTAAAATAATTATATAAAAATAGATTTAGACAGATAATAAATTGCCCAACTTGTCAACGAATCGAATAACAATTTTTTAATGAAAATTAGTCATCCAATTTATTTTCAAACATAAAACACATTATTTTTTCGCTAATGAGTTTCTTAATACCAAACTATGATACAACACAAACTAGTTGAAGCAACTTTGAAAGTTGAGAACGGTTCGCTTGATTCGACGGCACCATCGGGTCGCGTACCGGCAATAAATAACACCCGAGATCTACTCTTTATGATATATGCGAGATATAGTATAGTGTGCAATAGTTATATAGCGTGCAATAGTTTGCATACAGGATACAACAAGAAAAGAAAAGTGGAAAAAAAAAATAACTTTCGCGCAGAAAGTAAAATCAAGCAGTTTTTACAGTCACGTCATTGAGTCATCAGGCGAATTATTGAAACGATAATTTTCTTTGATAATAATAATTAGAAAAACAAAAGCACACACGCTTGATACATCAAAGAAAGTCAATATTATACAAAAGTATTAATGTTAAACGTGTCGTGCGTCATTAATTTTTTTCAGCATCATTCTAGCTACATTACTGACCTTGGCTACGCGAGTTGACAAGATCAGTAACGACGAAAGTGCGAGGAAGGTTTGCGCGAATCTATTATAAATGCGTTAGTTACGCCAATGCATAAGAGCGGCGATAAGGTTCGTATAGTGATGTTAGCGCAGATATGCGGCCCGGTATCTTTATTACCCTTCGCGAGACACGTTGCTCAAGTTAATGTTAATTGCCATTTTATCTTACTCAGACGCCTGATATTTTGACCGCGTGATTCTCGCAAACTTTATGGTGCGCAAATGAGAGAGGCGACAGGAGAGAAAACTCTCGTTTCAATAATCGAGATGTATACCTTGAAATATTAATCCTTGAGAATAATTATAGAAGAAATAAAAATACATATTTTTATATTTTTGCTTCATTTTTCTTTTCGATCCGGATGTTGATTCAACATCCAGGGTGTCTAGCAATCAGGGAAATCTGGAAAACCGGGGATTGTCAGGGAATTTTAATTAAATCTGGAATTGTCAGGGAAAAGTCAGAAAATTTTACTATTTATCTGGATTTTTTCACATTATTTTACATTTGTCTCAAAAATTGAATTTTTATTAAATAAATATAAACTTTTCCTTGACTCTCAGCACGCTAATTTTCGGTGTTGTTAAAAATCGATTCATCTACAGCGTGTTCGTTAATTTATATTTTCATCGTCGTGTTATTTTATTTCAATGTGTTTGATAGAGATAAAAATTTAATATAATATAAATAAAAAAGGTGATTATTTAAATAGTTTATAGTGACATGTTTGTTTCGATTATCGTACATAATGTAGATTGCATAATCGATTTAAATTTTTGTTTTAACTTCCAAACCTTTTTATCGTTGACAAAAATATCTCAAGGATTTCATAGTTTAACATTTAATTGATTTATCACATAGATATATGCAAATTATATATATTTGGAAAAATAATACTAAAAAGTGAGGGAAAAAATTCATTTCTGATGTTGGAAAATCTGAAAAAATCAGGGAATTTTTTTCATTGAATCTGCTGGACACCTTGGATAAGTCGTCGCGGACGCTAAACGTAATTATAGTAGAAATATAGATAGATGGATTGTGAGGGAAGGAAAAATTATATATACGGCGACGTATCAATCGTAATATTTGTTTACTCGAGCTCGAGCGACATATATATATATATATATATATATATATGTATGGCGACGCCTCGGAGTAGAGAAAGAGATCGTCGCCCCATGGGAGACCGAGTATGCCGTAAGTAAAAACAACGTATTCACGAGGCTGTATCGGATTTTATTCCGCGGGTAAATCCTCGAATCTCGGCGGACCCGTGTCTCTCTGTCTTTGCATCCCCGTCTTTCGCTCCCTCGCGATTCATCCCACCGCGTGATGGTCCTTAACCCTCCTTCGTTCTTCTCTCTCTTCTTGTCGTCCGCGCGCGCTTTCACTTCGCGGAAAGAAGTTTCGGGAATTACGGCGACTGCTCGTAAGCCGACGAAGACGATGACAGCCCCGGTGCGTCTTTCTACCGACGAAGGTCATTTCGTCGGAGAAACGTGGATGGCCCACCCTAGTCTAGTTGGTTGGTCTCATCTCTTTCCATCCTCCTTCTCTTCCTCCTCCTGCTCTTCCCAGTCTCTCGTTTTCCTGCCACGTCTCGCCGAAGCTCGTCCGTATTCAAATGCTCGGTCGGGGATGCACGAAGGCGGACGAGAACCGAATTACCTGCCCTGAATTGGAGAACGGCGTAGGGACGGGGGAGAACTCGTTGTTACGAAGCGAGGCGAGAAGAAAGTAGGACGTCTGATGGAGAGAAGGTTCCCCCTTTCATTTCTTTTCCGCGAAATTTAGTATCATGCGGTTCAAAATTCTATCCAAATATATATATATATGAAATGAATTGTGTTTGATATCATTTTAATACGACGTACGAGAACAATTATTTTTTCCTCGAATTTATTATCAAACAGAATATCTTTATTAATATATTATTAAATATGACAAGAGTAGAAGGTTTTTCTGAATTCTCTTTTCTGGCCGCAAATGTTGTAGAGCGAAGAAGTTTGTCACGCTCGGAGATTTTTGAGGAAAAAAGTGTCGTATGGCGTGTACGAATGATAAGATTACGGAAGAAGATAAGTCGCGGAAAGATAAAATATTCTTTGTACATTGGACTTACACAATTAAGAGAAATTTAAGCAGCACGAGATCTTGTTGAGTTCTCGAAAGACAAAAAAAAGTACCGATAACTTTGCATTCGCGATAATAATCAAGACTACGTTTAGCTTATCACGCGCAATATGAATCGATGTAATTGTGCTATGATTAACGCATATTACTTCTTTATTATTCATCGGATATTAATAAAATTGGCGTCGTGTTTTTAAAACGCGACTGTCATATACATATACATATACGCATAATAGGGAACATACGGGCTGCGCAACATCTTATAACTGCTGCGCCATTAACGGGGCACCACGATCATTGTAATATACGTTTAGTTTAGTTTAGCTAGAGCGCACGAGGGTGATTGCGAGCCACCGACCCCTTGCGAGGGTGCATAATTTATCGCCGCGTCCCAACCACCGTAATGCAATACGTTACATGCATGTGGATTCCACGTAGGTTATCGATACTCCCTCAATGTCCGAGGGGCATAACTAACTATCTATAAATAGCGCGATCATGTATCGGCATTCATTGCCCGTTATATCTCTCCCCATTTCGCCTTCTATTCGGCAACATAACACGCAAACGCGAGGAGCGATATAAAAGTATTATCGTCGCGTTACGAGGTGTACATAGTATACACCTCTGCCGCGGATATCATTTTTTTATGTCGACGTCATAACTCGAGAATTTTTATTTAAATGAAAGAGTCAATTCTAAAATCATCAAAGTTGCCAGAGATCGCGAACCGATTGAAATATAAAAAAAAAATATATATAATCGACGAAGTCGCGTATGGGTAAGAGGGTGCATAGTTTCGAGACACGTTGCTTTTTAGAATAGAATTGGTTTTTATTGTGACTAGATTACAAACGGGGCCTTTTTACGGCGCTTCAATATCGCCCAGTAGGAACGTTTACACGTAGTGAGTGAGGTGACAAACGGGAATGAAGAAACATTCTGACGTGACGTTACGGATCACCCACCGCAGGGACTGGGATATGTGATTACGACGAACATTTGTACGACATTGGGATTCATACAAAATAGCGGTCGTTTCTTACGCCTATCTTACGTGACTATGTCTCATCGATCTCTCTTTACGGCGATCGACCACTCGCTATCGACTTTCCGAAGTCGATCGATTCGTGTCGTGTGCTTCGTCGTCGTTTCACTCTCGAAATCTCTCCTCTCTCGATGCATTACACAACACATTCCCCCGTTATATATAATAATTTATACAATTATCCATGACCTCGACGCGCGGCATATAATCATTCTATACATATGCAATATTTTTGGGTTTAACTTTGGCTTTGGTTTTTTTCTCTCACACAAATCTGTGTGATCCGTCAAATAATAAGCTACTTATAAAAATAGGATATTTTGTTGTGAATTACGTTAACGCTTCTCTAATTGCACAATCAAGGGATATACGTATATATAAGTTAAACGCTGGCGCTGGAACGATAAGAGTATGAAGAGAAAAATTCGACGGACTTTTGAAAAATCCAATTGCACGCGTCGCGCGAGGATGCTGTGAATATTGTGTGTTTTAATAATTATTCGACGATACTAATCCATATTTATAACGTACGCCTAATCGATAGAATACTCCTTGTTGCATACACTGTACAATCCGTATAATTCGCTCGCTTATACTTACAGCCTACAAGATTTTTGGTATTCTGTTTAAATAATCGTTATTATCATCATTACAATGTAACAGTTTTTTTTGGTATACAGTTACGCCCCGCGCATAAAGAGCCGGTATTTCTACTATACATATATCTACAGAATAGTGAGTACGTGATCTTATTTAGCGCCATTGTTCTTTGCTTAGAAATTAACCCCCCAAATTTTTGCGTATCGAGAAACCAAAATTATTAAAGCATACATCGTATACAATTAGCGCATATATAACTTGCGAGGAAACATACCTCTTTTCTCGTTCCTTCCAATGAAATAATATTACATGTTTATTTATTGCGACATATATACAATAGCATCGTTAATATATATATTTATATATATATGTATAATGAATATATTATATTTACCGAATTAAAAATATTGAAAAGAAGATCGAGGGGCTAAATCATATTTTTCATCGCGGCGAAAGTTTAATATTTGTACTCCATCAACGTTTATTTGCCTTGAAGAATATATACGAGTCCGATGAACTCGCCGAACTTGTAGTTTGCCGAATACGACCGACGTAGTTGATTGCTCGCGTAATACCTCGTATTTACAACGTAAGCAAATGTTCCTCGACTGTAAGTTTTGTTAACATTGTCGCAGACACTGATTCCTTACCGTTTCTCTAATTCTCAATTTTCACCACGAGAACGAAAATTATTAGTCGCATCTCTCTCGGTAGAATTGATTTTAAAAAAATTTCGAATTCCGCGACGAAGCTTGCATTATTTCCGATTCCAATCGAGCATCGATTAACACGACTCTGTATCTTTATGAATTTTATAAAGACACATGAGAGAGACTTGTAAAAAAAAATTCTTTTCCGGTTCATATATTTTACAATCGATCTCCGGCAGAGATACGAATTCTAGTAAACCTACTAGAATTAAAGAATGATTTTGCGCCGTATTAGTTAGACATTTGAGAACGAGACCTCGCGAAAGAATAAAATTTGACTAGCCTCAATCATCGTCCCTCGGTAAGGACAGCGTCTGCGAACCGGATGCGATCGGCGGCGTCGTCCAACAGTCGAACAACGACGGCCAGTAGCTGGTGGCGGTGGTCGCGTGCTGCCAATATCCGGTCAATCCGGTCCCACTTCCCGTAGCCGTACCCGGTCCGCCTACGCCGATGCCAACCCCTACGCCGATACCACCCGCGGCGGCTGCCACGACCTGCTCCGGATTGACCATACTACTCGCCTCGATAACACCTCTCTCGTCCACCTCTAGCTTCTGGTCCGCCGCGGCACCGTCCTCGTCGTACATGAGGTAATGCGGATGCGAGGTCGTCGACGACGGCGTCGACGACAGCGTCGGCGAGGCAGCGGACCTAGGCCTGGGTCACTCTTGCGATCTCAGCTGATTGTCGCTCGGCTGAGCGGAAACCGCGGCGCCGGAAGTCGGCACCACTTGATTATTACCACCGCCTCCGCCGCCGCCGCTGAGAGAACTCCCGGAATTCGGATTCGTCACGCTGTGGTGATGGGGGCTAGAGGTAGCCCCCGCTTCGCCTCAGACTTGGGCCCTGGCGGTAGCGTTAGCGTGCGCCTCGGGACCACCCGGGGAATGAGGATTCGCCCCAGCAGCCGTCGTTAACGCGTACTGACAGGCGTTCAAACTACCGCCGCCACCTCCGCCGACCGACGACGCTCTTGAGCTGACAGGACTTATACTTCCCGCCGTGGTACCACCGGTGGCACCACCCGCGCTGAAGGTACCTCCGTAGCCGCTGCTGTGCTGCTTCGCTTTCATACGCAGCGACGCGATACTGCTGGATGTCATCACCGTGCAGGTCTCGGGGATCGATGATGCGGCGTGTAAACCGGAGGTCCGTACGGATGATGCGGCGCAGCCGGCGCCGCGTATGGACACGCGGCACCGGACGCGGCGACTGGAGAACTCGCGACACCCAGACCGGAACCCATGCCCGGTAATATGGACGTGGCCGCCTGGCCGACCGACACCGACATGCCGCCCACGTGGCTGCCCGCGACCGACGTCGCCGCGGCGTTGAAGGGATTCACCGGACTGACCTGCGCGTGATGATGATGGTGCGACGCCGTAGGCACCACCGAGCCCAGAGTATTCATCCAGGGGAAGCTCTTGCCGCTTAACGGCGACGGCACCTTCGCCGCCCAGTTGTTGTACGTGCTGTACGAACTGTAGAGGTCTGGGTCCGGGAAGGGTTGCGCGATGAAGCCGTTCAGGCTGGCCGTGCTGAAGCCGGATTTGAAGTCCGCCGCGGCCTGCGCGGCGGCGTTCATCGCGTTACGCTCTTTCTTCCGCCATTTCGCCCGCCGGTTCTTGAACCAGACCTAGAAGCAGAAAAGCGTAGCGTCGCCAAATTTAATTCATTGTAATACGATATAGAGATATGTCACAGTCTGGTGAATTTCGAGCTTTAGGGATTTAAGAAACCCTGCGATTTATTTCCTCATCGTTAGGTAAATATTTTTTCGTACGGCTCGTCTATACATCGAGCATGAGCGGTAGTGAAGAAGGAAAGGCGTAATAACCGTAGAGTTTCTTGCCAGAGATTTCGCGAGCGCTCGCACGCCACGGGTTATTAGTCACGAGCGCAACGAAGAAAGCAACGGGCGGCGATTCCGCTCCGTGGTAGACGGTAGGCGAGTTCCCGAGACAAATAGCAAGAAAACCCCGGCGAACTCCTCCATCCTGAAATATGACGGCGTTAATTCAAGGCGGCCCTTCTCTCCCGCGCTCGATACCACGGCGAACTTCGTCAGCCGTTTCCACCCTCTTCCCATCCCTTCGCTCGTCCTTCAACCTCGAACCCACCTCGGAGTCCTCCGACTACGTCGTCTCTCTTTCTCGCCGTTTTCGTTCCCCGCTTGTCCCCAACAATTATACGGATGGTTGCGCTCAGATACACGTCGCTCTCGCGTAACTGTAAGGCAAGGGGCGGGAAAATGCGACATACGAAGGGTCGCGGCGCGTAAGTATTCGATGAAGGGAGGGTTGGTTAGAGCGAGCGGGAAGGTAGCTATATAGGGAGGAAGGAACGAAGGATGGTACCGAGGATGAAGCAATGCTGAAGGAGGTCGGGAGAATACTCCGTAAGATGGATGGCCCTACGATCACGCCGTGGAAACGCTAAGAGGCGCGACGCCGGGTCATTGAAAGTAGGGGCGGAAGACTAGCTAATGAAGAATAATGTCCTTTCCTCTCGACGATTATTCCCGGAATGTCGCGTAACAGCTCGAATTTGTTAGTAGCCTCGATTACGTAACTGAATAATTTGTGAAATGTGCAGGCGGAGAGACGCATCAGAAATTCATTGAGATTTTAATGTAAAATCTCACCCGCTGATTTATGCTCGCTTTATATACCAGATCCTTTCAGTTGTAAAGAGAAGCAGTTATTCTTATTATAACATCGTTTTTTCTCGATATATTAATCGATATTACTATCATTGTTATTACTTTTGCTATGAAATCTTTATTTTTGACCCGAAAGCTTTATACGTATAGGCGTGTCTCTTTTTTTTGCGTCGATAAGCCGCACGAGGAACATCATTGAATTTTACGAAGCGGCCCCGGTAGCCGCGAGACGCATGGGCGACGACGGTAAGCCAGGAGGGAGTAAACTCGATAGGACAGAGAATGGTACGGCGGGCGAAAGATGCCGCGACTCGAGAATCAATAAACTCTCTCGCGCAAAGGCGCACCCGTGTACACACAAGAGAGAGGTGCCGCGCCCATAAAGTTTAACAGCGCCACGGAATCTCGACTAACACCACGTGGAACCATCGGGAGAATCGTAATGTCTCTGATTCATAAGATCGTAAATTTGACGAATGTAGTATATGCTCACAAATCCCGAGCGGAGACCATCGCTTGACCGACTAGATTCCAGCTATGATCTTTCGCGAATGTAATAAATAAACGCGCTTATGGCGAGTGTTATTTGTATCCCGATAATAATTTAAAATACCTATTTTCAACCAAATTGAGCTGTGATATATCAAATCTGTTTCCTCAACTGCAAGTTTTTTTTTTTTTTTCTATCAATAAGGCTAACATAGAGAGGCGCGATTATAAAACACATTCGTCTGTCACAAGAATCTGCATTTCTCTTGGCGATTAATCGAGATCACGGAGGCGGCGCGTGTCCAATCGATTTCTCGACAGCGTCGAAAGATGTCAAAGTACGGCGTGGCGCGGCGGTCCGGTACGGAGAGAGACGCGATAAATCGAATCCGCTGTTTCCCGCCTGGCTCGGAGAACAATGGCCCCGTCACGTCATTCAGGCAATAAAACCTCATCAAATCACGACCCCTCGCCACCGTGTAAGCCTCTCGCTCGCTCTCGCTCGCGCGCGCGCGCGCGCGCGCTCGGCTCAATCTACGAAAGCTTATATAAATGTAATGAGACCGTGACCGGGGTGCCTCATCAATCACACCCCCTACGGCACCCTCCGTTCCATCGGCGGCGTCGCTCTCCTCTTCTACGGTCGTCTTCCGCGCCGCACATACGTTTACGTGCTACATAGACACCCTCGAACGCCGGCCCGTCCGTGGTAATCCCGTGACTTAACATCGGGCTCTCCGAGTAACCGCGATTTGTTCCATTGCGCTCAGAAGTTGCGCGCCACGCCGCGCCGTTAGTTCCTCGGTCAAGAGAGAGAGTCTTATAGCCGGAGCCTTACTTGGAGCCCAGCTCTCTCGAGTAAGACCTATTTAAACGGAACGGTTTCCGAAGGATATCTTATCGAGCCGGAGCATTATTTTATGGCGTTTCTACTGTTTATACTTGCTTTACGTGATTACGATATTTATCATTATTTTAGCGATGAAATAGAATTAAGATCGAAAAATTATTTCATTAAAAAATACTATTTGTGCCAAGAAAATTGACTTAAGGGGCATGAGCTATAGTATTTGATAATAGAAACTTGTAGTTTTAGAATATAGATGATGCATTTCAGACACTATGTTATATCCTACAGCACACCACTGTATTTACTGCACACTGCAATATAACTTGAAATGTTTAGATTCATTAAGTCTTGAAATATGTGTGCAAGAGGAATTTTTTACACTGGACTTAATCAACTGATTTATTTCGAAAAGACTATATATTTTTCAAAACTCGTTATTTTTTTTCGAAATCGTTTTTATATTATGTAATCTAAAAAAGCAATAAATATAATATAATTACAGTAATCTTATCACAAATGTGTATTATAACTTTGTGGAAGAGCTCTATAGCCAAGAAAAATTAATTCTCAGCTTTCAAAACTTAGCTATACACATACCACCTTTAAAGCATGAATATCTAATATAGAATAAAAAGTTATTATCCTGATTACTTTTTGTTATATTATTCAAGTTTTGAAAATTAATTTTTTACCTATAAAACTCTTTTGAAAAATTATAAGACATTTGTAATATGATTAGTGTAATCTGAAAAAATGTAAGACAAAATAAATATTACATTTGTTATTTTTTTATTTTACGTATGTTTTTTTGAAAATATGTAATATTTTCCGAATAAATTAGTAATTGAGCCTTTCTTTTACATCACATAAATTCGCTATAACAAATAAATAAAAAAAATCATCAAATATTTCATACATATGAAAAGATCAATACTTTCGATGAACCTTGTAGTTTAGAACGATGATAGATACACAATGTGTATATATAACATTCGCGAAATCAATAGACATTTATCATAGATTCATGTCGACAAATCTCCTCGATGGTTAATTATTATTACAAATGCAAATGACAAGAATGTCTAAACGACACATTTCTCAAAAATAAAAAAACTTTTCAGTCTATATTGATTGGAATGCAAACTGAAAAAGTTCTCAAGTATCTTTGCTGCGCAAATGTAAACAAGAAAATATATAAATATCTCGAACGTGGCGTGAGAAATCGCAGTTCCTTTACGTTTTTGCGTCTAGATTAACGATCTCGCCCATTCCGTGCGAGAAATGTTCGCGTGAGTTCGTGCGAATTCGCAAGACGAAGAAGGGGGTTGAAAGGAGAGAGAGAGAAGAGCCGAAGGACGAGCCTGAAAGGAGGAAGTTGCGGGTGGCGGTAGAAGGGAGAGCAACCTGACATTCGTAGGGTGTAGGGTGGAGAGATAGCGATGGTGGTCGCATCGGAGGGGAAAACCCCGAGAGGGAGTCCGAGGGAAGGTTAGTCCTGGGAGAGAATGGGAGAAAGAGAGATGCATGAACGAGGAAACGGAAGTGGAGGTGGAGGAGGATAATATTGATCCCCTCGTAGCCCCGCCCCTCCTCGCCCAGCCGACGCCATCATTATATTATCCACCATCCCTCCGTCTCCGTTTCCCGACGTATGCGCACCTCTTGAAACTCGCGAAACTGTCCTGGCGCGCATGTTGTCCTATGTGCTCGAAGAGGAACCTTTCGAAAAGGGAGAGATATATGAAGGCTTCTTCAGGTACGTCTTCTAGATACGTTCCTAGAGATCGCGATCCTCTTCGTCTTCGCCACTTTCTTAACTTTCCTTCGCCATCCGCCCCTTTTGCAACCCCTACGTCTTTTCACATCGGAGGAACGAAAAGCGTCGCTCTGGTCACGGAGAATTCGCGCGGCAGGTTGCCCGAAAATCTTGGTAGAGAGAGAGAGAGAGAGCGCCACTTCATTAAAAATAAATTCCGTAAAGGAGCCGACGGATATCCGGGGGCTTCGCGAGGATTTGACGCCGCAGACTCGCTTCTTCATTCCCTCTCGTTCTATCTCGCACCTTGGTTTCGCTACCCTCGTTGTTCTTTTCTCTCTACATACACTCGCCTATCCATAATTCGGTGCACCTCTCTCGTTGTCTCGTGAACGTTTCTCCAATGTTCCTCTCTTTTTTTTTTTTTTTTTTTTGTACCGTGAGTTAGTCGCTTGCTTTTTAACTTCTTTTGTATTTTCAGTAGAATTTCATAGGAATTTTCGGACTTCAATTCTTTTCGGACGTTATTGCTCTTACAATAAAGAGTAATTGAACATCTTTGTCTTACAAATAATTAATATTGCTAAAGAAAATAAGAAATTTATAATTGGGTGAAAAATGTATATGGAAAATTAAGAATTGAAAAAAAATTCTTGTATAATCAAAGATTAACGTACAATTCAGAAATAGATATTATAAGATTTTTAATGTTTTAACGCGTGTCAATATCATTACGTCCTCATAAATCCTCGTTTCTTTAGCTTCTGTTTCAAAATAATTAATAATTCGTATATGTCATATCTCATGCCGTCGACATTATATTGGATATGCATTATTATTAGCATTATCATTCTCATCCGAGCTTTTATTCCGTCACTC